AGGGTTTTGGGGGTGCCACTTTCACAACACAAAAATTTCTTCTTTCCTTTTGTTCAGCGATGGTTTTGGGGGTTTGATCTGGTCGGGGCGTCATTCGTTGGGGGGGTGTTGGTGGATGTCAGTCATTGGGAGGGGGCAGAAAGAGAGGGCTCATTGGCTGAAAGGTGGTTGGGGAGGGACATTAACTGGGAGGGGGTAGGGTTTGATAGACATAAGGACAATACAACACACACAGAAACACCAATACATGATGCAAACATAGCACTGACAAACGTAATGTGTCTATGACGAAATGTGAACAAAGTCAACATGACAACCTGGCCAAGAAAACCAAAATTGGTGTCGCAGTGTAGGAAAAAAATACTACAACCATTAGCAAGTCTGACACCTAACATGATGGAAACATAGCACAGCAAAACTAACAACGTAGAGCAACTCTGAAACCTAACAACTAAGAACATGAAAGTAATGTACAGATAAAATAAAAATAATATACAAAAACATGAAAGTACAAAACTAATCTGCCCTACTACACAAAGTCGCTAACTCCTGCCGTGTAAAACATGAAAGTACAAAACTGATCTGCTGTGCTACACAAGTCGCTAACCCCTGCTGCCGCGCCTAGTATGAGTGCTATGACGTGCTGCACTCCCTCTCCCTGCTAATGCTCCTCTCTGCCCACTCCGACCCTTACCGCGTGGTGCTCCCTATCTCCCTACGGGTGCAAGGTGTGAGCCTGCCGCGGACGCTACTCTTCGATGCCTCTCTCTCTGCATAGTTGTGTCGATGGGCTCAGTCTCTGTGTCCGCCTCCTTAGCCTGTGCCTCCGTCTTCGACCTCCTCTCACGCTCGCGAATGAGGTCTGCCACCCGCTACTGGTCAACAGCAATCTCCGCATCAAGATCCCTGATCGAGCCATGACGTCTTGAACCCTGTGGCATATGCAAGTCCTCCTCGCCCGATGTGTACGGCAGTCCCTTCCGTCTGTCGTCAATGGCTGATCGAGCCGGATAAACCTCCAACCTCTCTGTCCTCCTCGTCTCGACTTTATCCAATCCGAGTATACATCCTGTTGTGTGGACTAACACAAAAATTCCCACGACAAATGAAAGTTGAAAAAAAAATCCATTTAAAAAAAAACCTTCATATTTATACATTATCATTCCAATGTTCGTCCAATTCTAAAATTTTCAGTTTTATTTGATAAGTTCCCGTCTAAATATGAGTTTTCCCTTCCAACTACATCTGTTTGTTCAAGATGGAATGAAAGTCTGGACGAATTTATGAAATGTTTTAATTAAATTTTCATTCTACTACAATAATTATCTTCTTATTTATATTGGATTAACATATTTATGACTGAAAATCCTTACTTAGAATGACAGTCCAATTAAAATATTTCATGAACTCATCCATACTTTCATTCCATCTCTAGCATGTAGTTCAAATAAGAAGAGGTACCCCACTCTTGGAAGGAAAGTTTCCAAGTAAGACGAAAAATTTTAAAATTGGAATGACATTATTTTAGATAGAATGAAAATTTAAAATTTAGAATGTAATTTTACTATAGAATGATTATTTAATTTTGGGAATTTTTTATGTCGACACTCGGTCGTCGAGCCTCACTTGCACCCGCTGCAGGATCTCCCTCCCCCAATGGTCCTCGTGCAAACAACCCCCGTCCTCTATCGTAGTCCCTCCTCAGACTGTCCGTCACTCACCGACAAGACGACCACCCCCCTAAAACGCCACCTCGATGACTCCAAGAAGATCCCCGCCCGCTGCCTCGACCTCCAATCGGTGGAAGACCTGCAGCCGGTGCTGATCCCTGTTGCGATGCTCGAGATACAGGGTGCGTCAGTGGCTGCGCACGGCTGCTGCCAGGCCCGCCTGAAAACACTGCCGCCTGTATCTCCAAAGACTCCCGCTCGCGGATGTTAGACTGCAATGATCCGGTCCACCTAGGGCTCACTGGAGCCCACGGGGGAGGCGAGGGCTGACCACCGGCGAACGGGAAAGGGTCCTCCGTCCCCAACCTCTCTAGCTGCTCCGGATGTAATGGGGTCGGAGTGCACTCCCCCGGTTCCCCGCCATCCCACTGAGGCATCTCCCCCAACTGCCCACCTGTAGAGAAAGAGCCAGTTGTTTCTTTATATACTAAAATTCTACCGCCCGAGTCAATATGCCCTCCTCTCTCAACATCTCGCACCGACAGGGGCCTAACAATAATCGCGACGGACATGTCGATGGCTGCTCCCTCCTCCTCAACATGCCCTCCGGTCACGCCATCTCGCACGGATGGGGCACTGTGGCCTGCGTCGACCGCTGCTCCCTCCTCGTCATCCTCTGTCGCGCCATCAACGAAAGCGTCGAAAGGCACACTGCCCTCCCAAGGGACACTGTCCTCGTCCAGCAACTCCTCCTCAGGCAAAGCCAAATCGCCCTCGTCCAACTCTTCCTGAGGCAAAGGAACACTCCCCTCGTCCACCAACTCCTCCTGAGGCAAAGGCACACTGCCCTCGTCCACCATCCCCTCCTCCCCTCCATGAGTCCCTCCATCTGTGCCAGCCGCGCATATGCCAATCACGACGTCGCCTACTATAGCCTCGGCGGCCGCACACTCCTCGCCGTCGTCGGAGCTCTCCTCTCCTATGTCTGCCCCGACTGTCTCGACACCCCCGACATGACCACCCTCGCATGGCACATCTGCCTGCCCCTCGCCTCCAGCGTCCAATCCGCATGTGTCAGCACCACCACCCACAACATGAGAGGGCCCAGAGGGAGGCTGCATCCTGTCAGAAGTCGGCATACGTCCGACGCTCGATGGCGGACCCGCTCCTATCGTCTTTAACTCCCTCTGCCTCCGCTGCTCGGCCTCATACGCCTCTCCGCCCTCCCATCGAGGCATGGATTGTAACCGTGCCTCCTCCTCGCGATCCAGGCGAGCATCCCTCTCCTCAACAGTCTCCTCCCTCTCCCTCACATCCGTACTGTAATCCGCTCTGTCATGGACTCTGCATCGTAAGACAGGTGAGCCCCCATGCAAACCAGCGATATCGAAATTGCTGGTGTGCAGAGAGGATGTTGCAGCCTGAGCGGGGCCGCTGTGTGACGGTGTCCCCTCCGCGACCGGTATGTTCTGAGGCTGCTGGGACGCTGAAATGCTACGCTCTGCCAACCTGTGTGACCGACGAAGCTGCTCTGAATGCTCCCTGGAGTGGTGGCTCGGATCAAACCGAGGGTCCCGCAGGCAGTCAGCGTGAGGTGCCACGCCCTCGTCCTCGTCACTCGACTCCAACCCTAGAACTCTCCTCGCGCGGGGGTGAACGTTGCGAGCAACGGCGCCACGACCTCGTCCCGCTGGAGGGTGTCGAGTGGCGCTACCGTGTGCCCCGCCAGTGACATCGTCCGTGATGACGGGCGTCCGCGGCGCATGCCCGTCCGACCCACCCCCGTACGTGAAGTACACATGCTCCGTCGTCCTGTCTGTGCCCCCCGCCACATCCTCTGCGTCCGCCTAATCGTCCTCTCCGTCCTCAGCGGCTGCCGCGGAACCCTCTCCTGCTCCCCGAGACGGGGGAGGAGGCACATGGTCGAAAGGGAGCAGAGTGGCCGCCCGATCCCCGAATACGGCAGAAACCTCTCGAGGACGGCTTGTGCCGTCCTTGCGAAAAACATCGATCTGCCTCCTGATCTCCCGGTCGGTGAACGTACCAACAGGTCTGGCCCCCCACACGTTAGGCTCGAGGTCACCGTCGTCCTCGTCCTCGTCCGGCAACCGTCTCTCGGTGTCGACACCATCCATGACCCACAGAAGCACATAGCTGCCACCCTGCTGCCTGCATGAAGCCAGTTTGAGATTTGTCGTGATCTCAACCAGCTGTGCCAGCTTGGCGAAGCCAAGGTTGCTCCGCTTTGCCATCAGAATGCGCTCATGGGCCGCCTAATTCCTCTCCGCGGGCAGTGTCGTGGGCAAACCACCACGCCGCGCAATGGTGAGTCTCCTGATCCCCATGGCAACCCTCTGCCTCGGCATCCGACACCAGCCTGTCACCCCTGTCTCCACTGCGCGCATGGATAGCGACCACATGTGCATCACACGGATACCGATAGCACGTAACTCATGGTGGGCAGTGCCGTGGACAAACCACCACGCCGCGCAATGGTGCGTTTCCTGATCCCCATGGCAACCCTCCGCCTCGGCATCCGACACCAGCCTGTCACCCTGGTCTCTACTGCGCGCATGGAATCGGCGCATCTGGTCACGAACAACGAGGTAATCCCTGCTGGTGGGATCACCTCCAGTCTGCGCAAGGAGAAAACGATCACACTCCTGTACAACCTCCGCATCCTCCGTCGTGGTGTGGAGGGACGCGTAGTACCTCAAAGACCGACGACGGGGGTGTAGGAGATGAGCGACAGCTTGCGCGGGCTCCAACAAGTGCATGAGCTGCATCCTGACCTCTCGCACACACTGGGTCAGAAGATCGGCCGGCATAACGTCCAGCTATGTCAGAAGCTGAACGAGATGACGGTTCCACTCGTAGACGATGAACATCATCATCCCTCCTCTGTCCATCCGCCTCAGCAGCTGATGGATGGGCTCCATCACAAGAATCAATAACTCATCATAGCGCCAGAACTCGCCATCTCGAATCTGGAGACACACGCATCTCGCCTGGGGTAGCAGTCTTCGCTCCCACGGGATACTCGCCAGGCGTCGTCATGCAACATCGCCTCCAGCGAGTCGCGTATCCCAAGGAGACAAGTCAACATCATGAAAACTGATGCGAAGCGAGTCTCAACTTGCTGCACAAGCGGAACGCGCGGGCTCTTCTTCTTGTAAAGGGCGAGAGCTGCGCCGTGCGATTTAATAAATCGCATCATCGCTCGTCCACGGATAATGGTGTCAACTGCCCACCCCACTCGTGTCCCTATGTCTGACAACATCAAGTTGCAGACATGGGTCGAGAAGAGGAGCCAAGTGATGCGCCGGACCACTGGATCTGGGTCTGCGGCGAGCAAACGGGCGGTCATTGTGTAGTTACTAGCGGAGTCTGTACAGAAAGCTATGACGTCCTTCCCAGGGAAGGACTCAATGATGGCCTTCCACCTGCGGAAGACAATGGCGCCCGTCTCCTGTACAGAACCATCGCGGAAAACGGTGGCATAGAGTAGGGCGCAAGTGGCACCCACAGCAAGGAAGTTCACGATGGGTCGAGAATCACGCGATTTTCGACCATCTGACAAGATGGTGACGCCGCTGTGACTGAACGACTCTCGGACCTCCCTTAATAAAGTCGCCACCTTCGCCCTCTGCTCGGGCACTCCATCTCCACCGATTTCTTTAAAAGCAGGAAATCGCATCTACCTTTCGGACCACCCTCCTCGATTGCCTCCTGAACGCGTTGAACGGAATGCCAGAGTCATAAATCCACTGCAAAAACTTGTCGTTGAAGATCGATTGCTTGTCCGCAGTGTCGACCTTGTCGATCTTGGACTGGCGGACCCTCTTCCCCGGTCGGGTCGCTGCCTGGTCGGTCTCCCCCATCGGATTCTTCCCCTTTCGGATCTCAGGGTCCTCCTTACGCGACGTCATCACGACCTCCTCCCCTGGCAACTCCACCTCCTCTCGCTCCTCCATCTCGTCAAGCACGTCCCTCACAATGTCCCTGCGTGTAGTGCAAGGATCCGCTCCTGTACAACCTCCAACAACTGCTCGGGAGTCTCAGATGCCGTACTCCTCCATGTATGTGCGGATAGATGCGTGATGTCGGTCTTCGAATCTGTAGTTCGTGTCGTTCCAAATGTCAACGAGCACGTCGAACTGCGCAACACGACACTTCTTCAACCGGCAGAAGTGCCTCGCGGCCTTCGATTGGTTCCCCTGCCACAGGTGCTTGCACAAGTTGCATCGCAACTTGCGGTCACCGTGCATCTTCTCCCACGACCCTACAGGTTGCCCCAGCGTAACGTATTTCCAAACGCATGAGGCCCTCCTCAGCTTCGCCATCTCAGCATCGAAAACAGGGATAAAATCTGACCCCCCTGAACCACCGCCCCCCCCATAACCCCCCCCCCTCCGACTCATTGTGAACGAATGACTCGTCCGCACTCGCCTATGCGCTGATGTCGCTCTGTGATGTCGCCCGTCGAGTCGTTGAAGTCCGTCGATGTCGTACTCCCCGCATCCAAGACCCCCTCCCCGCCCCGGGTCCACCGGGCGCCAATGCGGCTGGGAACCGAGGCCCACTTTAGTCCCGTCGCGACCTCGCGGTTGTGAATTCGTCTGCAGCGGTCGCGGCTTTGCCCGCTGCGGTTGGCGACGCGACCGAAGCAAGCGGGATAGCGCCCATGCTGGCCGATAAGTAGTTTGGTTGTTGTTCGAGGGGGTCGGAGATCGACAGCGAGATCCTAGGAAAAAAATAATAATAAAAAAAAAAAACAAAAAAAAAACAGATGATTGATTGGTTGATTGATTGATTGATTGTGTGTGTGTGTGTGTGTGTGTGTGTGTGTGTGTGTGTGTGTGTGTGTGTGTGTGTGTGTGT